ATTTTTTTGTTGATATTGTAGAGTCTTTGTGATTGTGTTGTTTACACATTATAGTTGAAGCACTTTTAAGGCATCATCAATCAAAGAAACTTTGTAAGAACGACTTTGGGATTTACATAGTAAATCTTTTCATGGGTTATGAAATAAAACAAGTTTAAGTAGAGCCCACTGGCACTGTACTGCAGCAAACTGGCAAAATTCCCAGCAGCTCACCTGAAAATTTCATACTGCAAAATATACGAATCATTTTATAACAGTTCTTGCTGCAGAAATAGTCATTTTTTCAATGATTTAAAAAAGTATGTTTCATCTCACACAATTGTCTGATTTTAAATGGACTATATCTCTAATTCAAATGATTAGATCAAGAAAATAAGGCATGAAAACTCACCCAATGAAACTATCTATAGATGCTCAAATTGGTACGACTGACACTCTGAAGGTGCTAAAACTAGGGCAGCAACCCCTGGGCTGGGCAGGCATAAAATGTCTGATGCCCTCTCTACGCAATTTACTATGTTCTCAATTTGAGAGTGAATTGAGACATGCAATCGCAGTAGCATAAACACGTACAGGCAATCACCGACTTAAATGGGTTCATTTGCTGCGCAGACCAGGGAACGCAATCCTGTCAGATTTAACAGATCACTCCCATAGGACACCAAATCAGAAAAGTTCCAATTTACTCTCTCTCCCTTGCACTCACTTATTATTTGCGCTCCACTTTTTCTTTTACTCTCTCTCTCTCTCTCTCTCTCTCTCTCTCTCTCTCTTTCTCTCTCTCTTTCTATCTCTCTACTACCTATTTGTCAATATACCCTCTATCTTGCACTCTCTCTCATTTTAGCCCGTTAAGAACACAAGTGGGGCATTAAATGAAGTGTCACATCCAGGGGGCATAGGAGCACATGCCCTCTTTAGAAAGTTCAAAACATAATCAGGCATACATTCAGTGTACAAATAGGTGTCCCCTTATTGTTTATCTGTTTCCCCCTCTTGACTTTTCAAAGTTAAAAAAAAGGGGGGGGAGATGAAATTTTTTGTTTCATTTTATCCATAATTTTGCTTGTCAGAGATGTTGTAGGATCCTTAATTTAGCATTCTCTACTAGATGCAAAATGGTGTATAGAAATGTCAATCAGTCAGTCAGGGGTTATAAAGGAATATATCCTCTTGAATCCTTTAATGAAGATAGAGAGAGAGAGAGAGGGAGAGAGAGAGAGAAAGTGGGGGAGAGAGAGAGAGAGAGAGGGGGGGGAGGGAGAGGGGGGAGGGAGAGAGGGAGAGGAGACCAGACAGGAACAAATATTGGCTTCATCAACAGAGGACCGAGCTCCACAGTCCACACTTTTCCATCTAAAGAGTCGACAGAAAAATCTATAGAAGGGAGGACAGATCCTACAGAATTATGCAGAATGAAATTGTATTCCAAGTGACAACAGAATATTTCCCCGCAAGGAGTCAGTATATTTTCCTAAAGCCTGAGCTGGTCATAGTCGTAATCATGGTCGGTGAAGCATATACATATACAGGGAAATAAACAATGGCATGTTGACATTCAAAGGGGTATTAAAGAGTCATTTATGATAACGGCTCATTTGTGATAACGAGTCATTAAAGTCAGTATAAGTTCATTTTCCTTCTATCCACCCTTACATGATCGACCTATAGCGCATGTATCTAATGTACTCCCCTGAAAATGTGATTTCTCTCTGTGAGAGAGCTACCAGCAGATATTAATGTGTTAACACTACCATACTGCTATATACCCATCAGAATTAAATCTGTCACTTTTTAATATAGTCATCTCCATTTCACAACTTCCTCTTTACCTCTGATATTCCAGATATACTATCAATATATAGGCCTGAAGTAAATGTATAAATTTTGAAATTGGAAATGTTGTAAAGTTCAGGAAATAAGCATAAGAAAGAGACATTTTCAGGTTTAGTTTGAAACAATGATCATGAACTTTCCAGCCTAAGCATTTGTTGTATAAGAGGGTCACGATTTTCAATTACCAATTAAGTATAATTTTTATTTCCTAAGAAAGAAGAGCATTTATCAAAGAACACAGTTATCTTACAACAAGTGATGCACAATTAAGCAAGACATTGTGTGTTTCAACTGCCTTTGGTTCCCTTTTACAATGCTGAACCACAAATAGGCCCTGTGAAGTCACTCCAGATTAAGCCATTATTCACCTTAGGCTTAACTGTATGTAATCCTATTGAGGTCTTAATCCATTCTCAAGCTTCAATCACCCTTAAATCTTGATAAGCCAAGAGTGCATCGATCGTTAAGCCTAATTCAGCCATTCACTGCCAGAGTGTGCGTGAAGACAGAAAAGAGCATACAAAGATAGAAAGTTTGTCTGGAGCAAGAAAGGCATTAACACCTATATTTAACAGAGTAATAACTCCCTTCTGGCTCTGACCAAACAGGTTCATTCTCAGACAGGTGACTGGCCAGACAGAGATGATGATGATTATTATATACACAATATTTGCACTCCTATGTTCACATGTAGCAAGCTGTATGTGCATAGTAATACATGTAGATGTTAAAAGGCAGAAGGGCCTTGTCTCTGTGCTAAAGTGTATGAGTAAAAATTATTTTGACATTAATGAAGATTTATTGCTCTGCATCCGTCTGTCCTTCTCCAAATGACTTTTTATCTTCATGTTCCAACAATAGGAACATTTTTTATAGTCTATCTCCATTGAATTCATAATTTTGTATCAAAATTATGTCTGTCCTATATGTCTGCAAACTGCTCTCTCTCTCTCTCTCTCTCTCTCTCTCTCTCTCTCTCTCTCTCTCTCTCTCTCTTTCTCTACCTGTCCTCCCTTCTTTAATGTATATCTCCTATTCTCCATCCTCTTCCCTCCTTCTCTCACACCTCCATTGCCCCTATCTCTCTCTCTCTCTCTCTCTCTCTCTCTCTGCCTTGACGCCTTTTAAGCTCTCAGTAGACAATGTATCCAATGATGTACTGTTATAGTATTACATATAAAAGCACCTCATCACACATCTAGCCATTTATATTTTTACTTGTGGTTGAACCATACTACATACATGTACATGAAGATGGTTGCCTCCACAATGAAATAAATCCTCTATAAGAGGATCTCTCCAATACATCAATAGACAGTAATCTTCATGATAGAAAGAAGGTGACTCATCCTTTCATAATCTTCTTATAACTCCTTGAATCCAGCCTGTAACAATTTGAGGAGTAATCCTAGCTAAAGAAGTACACCTCAATCATTGAGCTTAACCCTTCATCTCATTGAATCTCAAGTGCTATCTCATTTAATCATCATCCAGTACAGTATGCAGGATCAAAGGGGTTAAGGCTTAAGATAAGTCAAGTTAACTGAGATGTGATGAATATAGCAGCCATTCTGCAGGCCTATCTCAGTTTTCTAAACTCTAACAGAAGTGAACAGGGGAAATGAAGAAATAAAAGTACAAAATAGATGCAACTATCTCACTGAAGGCTTACTAACATGTTTCATAGTTGGTATACACCAATATATTTTAAACCTGATTTTAAGTGATCTCCTGTAAGATTGATAAGCCAAAGTTTGCTTGCCATAAACAATGTTTCTTATTGAAACATACACAATTGATGTCTGAAAACTTAGTTCAGGATATAATTACATAAACGAGTTGTAAAAGGAAATATAAAATTAGACCAAATAAGGGCTTAAAGTTGTGTTAAATACTAGATTTCCACAATAAAGGGGGCGATTTGGAAATCTTTGAACAATTTTGTGTTAACTCAAGGTACCGATCAGTCTTGATAAATTCAGAACATATATTATATGAATTTGTGGGTAGCAGTCAGGTAAAATAACAACCAACCACAAACACTCTAAAATATAGTATGAACTAAATTTTCTTATGAATACATGGAAGCATTCTCATTCATGAAAGGTTGAAAGAAACCGCAAGAAAACTTTTCACAATTTCTTTCGACTGAAAACCTCTATAAGGTATTCCATGAGGTGCCTAAAAATACAAACTACTTGTAACTTTTAACAATAGTGTTCTAGATAGGGACAAAAGAATTCTGCATGAAAACAAATCTAGGGAAAATAGAATGACCTATAGACATGAAGGTCGATGGTTTCAAAGATAAAAATACATGAATGGTTTCCAATAATGACAAATATGGTCTTTATGGCCATAGGGAAAGGTAAATTGAAAATTGAGTAGAATATAATTCTACAAGACATTGTAATTTCAACATTTTCTATCATGTCTCTACCCAAATAACTTGGACCATTATATATTTCAAAAAGATAAAATGAAAGAACTTGGGATACTTACAAAAAGACTGACAATTCTACTAAAAATTGTAATGGAGCATTGATATCTCAACATTCTTGTTATAAATATAGTAATATGAATAATGGAGGTACCCCTTTCGTGGTATAAACAGTACTACATTTATAGTGAGCCTACATATTCACACTCAACTACTTTTGTTTGATTCCTCTAACAAACTGTTACTGACTGCATGTTCGTATGTTGATAGACATAATTGTGGATCACTTATAATTTGTTTGACACCTCTGACTAACTAGCATCATGGTTTATCAAAGCCTAACTGAGCTGTCAAATCGATGTCAGATAGTCTCACTTCAATATAACATTATCATTCTCCTGATCACTGTAGACATTCTGTATGATCTACAATCATATAACTAGAATTATTTCTGAATTCTCCCAGAGAGCCATTGGGAAGGATAACTTAGAGTTAAATGCCCTGAGCAAGAACAGATGCCCAGGAAGGTTCACTACATAGATTGAAATGAATAAATCAGTTCTTTATGACTTAGAAGGCAGGCTAGACTAGCTAAAAATACAACATATTAATCATAAAAATACCAGGTACTGAATTATTCATTGTGAGCACATAAACTAAAAGTCTGTTCACACTGGAAATTTATACAAAATTTGTTTAAAGGAACGTGTTATAAAGAACAATTCGTCGCGTCGGTGCAAGAACGCCCTTAGCTCCAAATATTGTGTCGTCTGCTATTTTTGACGATTTTTAGCCTTTTTGAGATTTTCACAGAAATGGAATCTACATGACACAAGAATTCCAGAAATATATTTTTTGTTGTGTATTTCGAAGTTTCTGATGAGTTATGAGCAATACAAATAGGCCCTTAGTCGTCATCACGGTTTACGTTCAGCGCAGTAACGCCCTCCCGTACTAGAGGCGTTTTAGCGCGGACTTCGCGGTACAAAATTGTTTGTGCAAGAACGCCCTGCCGATCAACATGTCGTCTGCCGGGGATTCCAGTCTACTACGTAAGCATTTAAATAAACAAGTTGTAATGTGCAGATAAGTCATTTATATCAGTTACTTATGGCTTTATGGTTGTTGAAAGTATTTAAGTGCCGATATACGTATTAAATGATTTTATTGTTGGTATACGGTACTGAAGAGTGTCTGGTAATGAACAAATTTAGTACACCTGTCCCACGTACTGTATATCGTGTCTTGTTATGGCGAATACGGCTTAGACTTGCAATGTAAGTGTCGGGTCTATGGCGACCTTTGGCACACAAACATTGTAGCTATGAACATCTTTATTCGCTTATATAACAAAATTCATATGGTTATGATTAAAGGTGAATTAAAATGAGGTGCATGTCTATCATTTTGTTTCATTAAATCCAAACATGTATGATGTAGCTAGAGTCAGTAGATGAACATTCGCTTAGACTAGATCTAGGCCTAGCCCTAGATCTATGAGGTGCATGTCCATCATTTTGTTTCATTAAATCTAACCTAGTCTAGATCTAGGGTCTAGATCGCTCTAGTCTGTACTATATATTATAGACATCTAAAGATCTAGATTCTAGACTAGATCTAAGCAGACCCTAGGTCTAGAATCATAATAATTATTTTTTGTCATTATTAAACTGCATTAATTAATGTGTGATTGCGATGGAAGAAAAGACGCAACAGACGGTTTTCTAAGAAACAAATTTGCCATTCCATGTCATGTTATAATCAACAGAGTTAATGCAACTTTTGTAGTTTTTATAAATCTCACAATTAATGGCTGCAAATTGGATGTACATAAAATTGAATGGGGTGCACATACTTGCACATCAATGTTCTAGCCAAGCGGAGAGGTGTTAAATGTGAGTTAGTTGTTCAGATTTTTTGCATCAATCTTCCGAATATTTTTGAACAAGTCACGCAGGTATTTAGTTTTAGATTCTTGTTTAACATTTTACATTTTTGTATGAAAAGTCTTGGTGCGCAGACTAGGGTACTATTGGAATGTAGATTTCAAATCTTTTCAACACCACATAGCTGAACAATTCAAATTTGTTAAATTGACTGCTGTTATTTTTTGTTTACAGCTGAAACAAATGGTATAGACCTGCTCATCCAATGGAAAAAGGATGGATCCAGGCACTACGTGGATTCGGAAGACGTTTGGTTCTTTAAGAAGAATCCATTAAGGAAAGGGACCAACGTGAAGATGAAAGATGAACGTGGGCGTTGGTGGGCAGGGAAGGTACTTCAAGTGATTCATCGTACTTCATCAGGTAACTTATATATCATTTATTTTGAGTTGTAGAAAATATCAGTCATTCAAAATGTTAGCCATTAAAACATCAATCTTACATAAAATAAAATTTCATATGATTGAATGAGGAAAAGAAAACATTTCCCATCCATCCCTCTTTTTATCAAATCTGCAATGGCTAGTCAGCAAAACAAGTATTGAATATGAATTCTCTCTTTTTAGACGATGCTGATAGTGTAAACACAGTTCCCTCCTGTGCCTCAGTGCAAAATGATGTCATGGATCCCGATGATATGCCTCTAAAGCACCTAGTCCATAATGGTAAGCAATTAACAAACATTCTTACAATATCTGGAGGTGTACATTATATTTTTAATTATAGAAAATATCAGTCATTGTAAATATTAGCCATCAACAGATTAATCTTACTTTATATTCATTTTTTCTTTTTAGACGATGCTGATAGTGTCAACACAGTTCCCTCCTGTGCCTCAGTGCAAAATGATGTCATGGATCCCGATGATATGCCTCTAAAGCACCTAGTCCATAATGGTAAGCAATTAACAAACATTCTTTACAATATCTGGCGGTGTACATTATATTTTTAATTATAGAAAATATCAGTCATTGTAAATGTTAGCCATCAAAAGATTAATCTTACTTTATATACATTTTCTCTTTTTAGACGATGCTGATAGTGTCAACACAGTTCCCTCCTGTGCTTCAGTGCAAAATGATGTCATGGATCCCGATGATATGCCTCTAAAGCACCTAGTCCATAATGGTAAGCGATTAACAAACATTCTTTACAATATCTGGAGGTGTATTATATTTTGAGTTGTAGAAAATATCAGTCATTGTAAATATTATGAATAAAAACATTAATCTTACATTAAATACATTTCATATGATTGAATGCTGAAAAGAAAAAAATTCCCATCTATCCATTTGTCTCCACTCTGCAATCGCTAGTCACTAAAAACGAGTATGTAATATGAATTTTTTTCTTTTTAGGGGATGCTGATTGGGACAACATGGATGCCTCCTTTGCCTCAGTGCAAAATGATGTCAGTGATCCTGATGATGATATCCCTCTTAAGCACCTAGTACATAATGGTAAGCGATTAACAAACAAGCTTTCTAATATCTGCATGCGACAATATCATTTAATTGGTATGTGTTTTACAGCAAATGGGACATTGATTTTTTTTTTCATCTTTAATTGTCACACTGTAATAACGTACACATTATAATTAAAACATCATTCACATTACTTTTTGCAAAATTAATATTCAAAGAACCAAATTTTTAGTGATTTGAGGTATCTTTCTATTTTAGTATCATTTAGACTCATCTAATATTATTTGTATGACACACAGTTATATGTACTTTATACAAGTTTTCTAACAATAGCTATACATTGTTGTTATAATTTGAATTCAAGGCATAATTATATTTTTTACTTTGGTCAAATTCCTCACTTCTACAGATAATACTGGCCCAAATTTGCCTTTATCCATTTCTTAAATAAAGATGTCATTAAGAGAAATAGTTGTATTAATATAGATTTCCTGATATTCAAACCACATTGTTTTGTACCAGGACTGTATTACTGAAGAGCTTGGAAGTAACAAGTATGATTTCCAGGCAGTTTGATAGTTGAAGAATAAGGAAGATGCGAGTACTCCACACATGTTTAATTTTGCTTCCATGACCAGCCAAACATACTTTGTTTTGAATACAAATTTAATTTATTCACAACTTTCACAAGATTATTGTCTTTTCCTTGTTTATCATTTATTTGAATGAACAGAAATGACAGGGAATGAACACCACAAGAGCTGCATGCATACTAATTGCAGAGAGGACATTTTTGCTGCATGCGTCTTATGCATGTCACTTTTGTGTGCAAAACACTTTATGGAGGATGACCCCTGTGAGAATCATATTGAACTTTTGGTAAGATCATTTCTTGTGTGCCTTTTTTCCTCATGGGTACATTCAGAATTGCAAAAAGTAATAAAGTGAATGCTTATCAAGATCACATACAGTACTTTATAATTGGATACTTTAGCAGTACATATGGAGCAAGTTCTTGTTGGCATCAATGACATGTTTGGAAGCAAACCGCTTGCACATCTCAGCTTTAAAAAAAAGATCAACATGTGTGGGTAAATTGAAGATATGTAGCTCTAATAATATGATCAAATTCGAATTTGATATAAATACATCGCAGTATATAAAGAAGATATTTTCATGCAAACATTAATAGTTTTATATCAAGGGAAGTATCTTTACCCCACAAATTACTCTGAAACCATTAAAATCATGTTATCCTTTTTGTTTCTTATTACAGAACGACCCCACCCTAGCCTTGATTGTTGAGGCAATACATTCTGAAATGCAAGTAGGAGGTGATCACATGGATGCTTCTACTCCAGCTCCTAATGGACACAACATGGATGCTTCTACTCCAGCTCCTAATGGCCACAACATGGATGCTTCTACTCCAGCTCCTAATGACCACAACATGGATGCTTCTACTCCAGCTCCTAATGGCCACAACATGGATGCTTCTACTCCAACTCCTAATGGACACAACATGGATGCTTCTACTCCAGCTCCTAATGGCCACAACATGGATGCTTCTACTCCAGCTCCTAATGACCACAACATGGATGCTTCTACTCCAGCTCCTAATGGCCACAACATGGATGCTTCTACTCCAGCTCCTAATGGACACAACATGGATGGTTCTACTCCAGCTCCTAATGGACACAACATGGATGCTTCTACTCCAGCTCCTAATGGCCACAACATGGATGCTTCTACTCCAGCTCCTAATGGCCACAACATGGATGCTTCTACTCCAGCTCCTAATGGACACAACATGGATGCTTCTACTCCAGCTCCTAATGGCCACAACATGGATGCTTCTACTCCAGCTCCTAATGGACACAACATGGATGCTTCTACTCCAGCTCCTAATGGCCACAACATGGATGCTTCTCAAACGGATGGTGGCGACATGGAGGCTTCCAGTGCATCAACTCCCGGCAGTGATGGTGATGGTACTCGTTCAACAGTAAGTCTGTTGTATCATAAGGGTTCATGCGTGAATGCTCTCAGGTTTATTTGACTTGCAGTTTCCATATATTCTACATGAATGATATGGAAAAAAAGTAAGAGGAGTCCAGAGGGGATTGGGGCACCGAAATCATACTGTTGTAAACATGTAATAACAAGTTTCTGCAAGTAAAGGCTATGGCAGTTTTTAATTCAGCTATGAAAGTTGTGCACAAACCTTTAGTTGCATTCCCCCTCCAAATGTTTCTTCTGAACATGCATCATTTTAGTAAAAATTTAAGACAGATATCAATCTTCTTTATCAAATATGTGTTTTGACACCCAAAACGTTTCACATGCATGATGCCCCTAACCCTTAAAAATAATTTCCCTCTTCTTATTTCAAAGCTAAATATATGCCTAATATATCCTATTTTTGCATGAGATACTGTTCTTATTATGGTTTATACAATATATCCGTTTTTAGTTCCCCTGCACAATGCTTGAATTGATTACCATGTAAATGAATCTACATCGTCAGTCATTCTATATGGATGTTATATGTTCATATTATAAATTGCCTTTGACTCGAACATTGAAGTAAATGGAATAAAATTAGATGATATCATATGTAAGGTCCATATGTTATTGTGATTGCTTCCTTAATTGCTACTCAAAGAAAACAAATGCATGGCTTAACATATTATAAGTTAAATTTCTGCCATTAATCTACATTTGTGTTTATTGTGTTCAGAAACCAAGGAAAAGAAAATCAACTCCTTCAGACTGGCAGAGAAACGTCAACAAAACTTTGAGGAATTCCGGGGAGGCATACGTCTCAGCCAGTGGAAAACAAATAACCAAAAGACAGCCCGGACCTCCCTGCCACTCCTGCAAGTTTGAATGCAATAGGACGTTCTCCATAGAAGCTAGAGATGAACTTTGTAGGACGTACTGGCAAACAGGAGACTTCAACAGACGTGATTTCCTCAGGATGCATGTGCAGAATGAGAAGGTGAGAAAACCCAGGAAAACATCAACAAAAAAAAAATCTTGTGGGAGACGTAGCATTAAGTATTTTCTACCTTGTAATAGTAGTACCTATCAAGTTTGTAAAGGTTTTTTTTTGAGTACTCTGGCAATTGGGGAGAAGCTAGTAAGATATACCTGCTCCAAGAGTACTGGTAAAAGCTTTTCCAAGACTGATGGAAGAGGAAAAGATACTCCGTACAACAAAACACCCGATGAAATGATAGATGGTGTTCGTTCTCACATTGAGAGTTTCCCCAAAGTGGAATCGCATTACTGTCGTAAATCTACCAACAGACAGTACCTCTCCCCTTTACTGAGTGTAAATAAGATGTATGATATGTATAAGCAGGAGAACCTCTGGCCAGTCTCTATATATCTGTATAGGACAGTTTTCAATACAGAGTACAATCTTGGCTTTCACACACCAAAAAAAGACACTTGTAAAAACTGTGAAAGCTTCAAGAACAAAACAGAAGCAGAGAAAAATGAAGAATGTGTTACAAAGCACATGCAACACCTTGCAAATAAAGAAATGTGCCGAAAGGTAAAGACTGCGAGTAAGGAACGAGCACAGACAGACCCCTCTCATAAGTCTTTTAGCTTTGATCTTCAGCAGGTCCTACCTATACTCCTTCAGGGACTGCTAGCACTCTGTTTTATAAGAGGAAACTCTCCTCATACGATTTAACAGTTCATGACCAGTCTACTGGAGATGCCACATGCTATGTTTGGCATGAATATGATGGTAGGAGAGGAGCTGCCGAGATCAGCTCGTGCGTTCTAAAAACCTTACAAACTCTTCAAAAAGGTGTTTCGAATGTCAGTCTTTTTTCAGACAGTTGTGGTGGACAAAACCGCAACAGGTTAATGTCAGCAGCACTTATGTATGGTGTTCTAACTGTGCCTGAGCTAGCATCCATTGAACACACTTTTCTTGAGTGTGGCCATACGCAAATGGAATGTGACATGGTACACTCTTGTATTGAGTCCATGAAGAAGGGCACTACCATTCACCACCCTGACGAATGGATTGGACTGATAAAGTGTGCCAGGCGCAGAATGCCTTTTACTGTTGTGCATCTTGGTCACGAGGATTTTTTTGACATAGCCAAGCTGTCGAGTCTGTGGTTTAAGACTAACATTAAAGATAATACAGGTTCCCTTGTAAAGTGGATGAAAATCCGCCAGTTCCGCTACGAAAAATCTTCGACAAACACTGTGAAGTTCAGATATGATTTTCAGGAAGACTTCAGAGAGATGCGTTTGACGGGCTCTCGTCGGCTGGTGAAGGAAATGGAACTGCAGAAGTTGTATCACTTGCGACAGTGCATCTCTTCTGCAAAGAAGGATGATCTTGTTGAACTTTGCAAGAGCTTAGTCATTCCCAGTGTGTATCATTCTTTTTATAAGAACTTGTCTTCACAAAGTATCCCAGATGAGATGCCTGATGAAGAGTAACTTGCGTGTAAGTTTTGCATGCAACCATACTGTTGTTGTACTGTTATGTGTTGATCTTGTTGTGATTTCAACAGATTGGTGCAGATTTCATAGAGATGTTTTTTTTCAGGATCTTGCCAGCGATTTAAAGAATTGCAACTTCATAAGTTGTATCAGTTGCGTATCTCTTTTGCGAAGAAGGATGATCTTGTTGGACTTTGCAAGAGCTTAGTCATTCCAGTGTCTATCATTCTTCTTATAAGAAGTTTTTCTCACAAAGTATCCCAGATGAGATGCCTATATACAGTGCGTCCCAGAAAAAACGAAACCGAGAAGTATCAATGTTCTATCATAACTTAATCAAAACTATAATTAATGAATGATACATATTTGGAAAGCTTAGAGTCTCCTCTTTCAGTTGATGCTACTCAGATAATGCATATTTCACGCATGAGTGATTCAAAGCAATTTGAAGGAAGGAAACCAAAAAGACATTTGGTGGGCCGTGTCTGAATTTCGAAAAAAAAATTAACATTTCTAGAAAGTTGAGTTTCTGCCCTTTCATATGACACCTCAATCAGGAAAAATGAGCTAGGAATGACAAAGTTCTGTTTTTTTAAAATAGTGCTTGCATTTCCATAAACGAATTCGTTTTCACTGGCTGCCTGTCGTATTAATAAACGAAATTAACAAAAGACTTAACTCTGTTTCATTGACAATCAGCCATGCATGAAGACTCTTGACTACGACTGATTGTCAACGAAACGGAGTTAAGTCTTTTGTCAAATCTGCTTTTTGCTACGGCAGGCACCCAGTGAAAACGAATTCGTTTGTTAAAATTATGAAAATGTAAGGGCTACTTTAAACAAACAGAACTTTGTTATTCCTGGCTCATTTTTTTTGATTGAGGTATCATATGAAAGAGCAGAAAATGAACTTTCTGGAAATATGAATTTTTCTTTGAAATTCAGATACCGCCCGCCAAATCACTTTTCGGTTTCCTTCCTTCAAATTGCTGTTTATCACTCATGCGTAAAATATGCATCACGTGAGTAGCATCAACTGAAAGAGGAGACTCTAAGCTTTCCAAATATGTATCATTCATTAATTATGGTTGTGATTAAGTTATGATAAAACATCGATACTTCTCGGTTTCGTTTTTTCTGGGACGCACTGTATAATGAAGAGTAACTTGCATGTAAGTTTTGCATGCAACCATACTCCTGTTGTACTCTCATGTGTTTATCTTGTTGTGATTTCAACAGATTGGTGCAGATTTCATAGAGATGTTTTTTTCAGGATCTTGCCAGCGATTTAAAGAATTGCAAATTCATAATTTGTATCAGTTGCGGCAGTGTATCTCTTTTGCGAGAAGGATGATCTTGTTGGACTTTGCAAGAGCTTAGTCATTCCAGTGTCTATCATTCTTTTTATAAGAACTTGTCTTCACAAAGTATCCCAGATGAGATGCCTGATGAAGAGTAACTTGTGTGTAAGTTTAGCATGCAACCATACTGCTGTTGTACTGTTATGTGTTGATCTTGTTGTGATTTCAACAGATTGGTGCAAATATTTAATGAAAATGCTTGATGAAACCCTTGTATCTCACAACAATACTTGTTGATATCTTTGAAGATTTTTTTTTTCCTGCCTTGTCATTAAAAATAATCATATAATCTACAAATTTCATCTATCTTGTCTTTTAGAGATATTAATATCAAAAACATCTTTTACTCTGATGGTTTTTCGAGATGTCAAGAAAATGTAGAATCCTTTCAAAGAATAATTTTTACAGTCGACTTGTAAGTGCATATTGAAAACTGCTGCTACTAGTAGTATGGTTCAATGAATTTGACATTCATGTAGTAAAATATTCTTATTCACTGAAAGGAATTTCATTATGCTCTCTTCTCTTAATTCACTTGATGAAATTTCCACTGGAAAATCCTTGCCATAATATTATATGTACAGAAGATATTAGATATTCATAACATACAAGATCATAATACACAACTGATATTTTGATAACAGAAGTGTTCATTTATAGTTATGGTTTTCAGGTGTGATTAAAGTTTTGAATAATTTGATCACATGTTGAGGCCTACAACTTTTGCCATTGCTTCTTAAAGTGAACATGAACGTTTGTATGATGCTGATAAGTAGCACATTTCTTCAACTTCCAAATACAGGTACAAGTGCTTAATATATATAGCATGGATGAAAAATTGTCCTCACATACTAGTCTTTGTGGTAACAACATGATGTTTTGTTTCTGAATGAATTGCCAATGTAAGTAAGGTTCAACTATTATTGTAGCTCTTGCGTACAATATGTATTGTACAAGATATTTCCATTTGACAAAACATATCTACAGCTTCCTGGTCAGCTTTATGAGAGTAGACCGAAGCTCTCTCAGGAGAAGTATGGTGACCTTGTCAGTCTGTGCAGAGGATCTACTCCAGTGATAATTCAACCAGAACTTGTTGAATACTACGAAAATCTTCCTCATTGAAGCACTGAATATACATATTAATTTCCCTATATTTGTATTTGTTATAAACAGATTCTCCAGTTACAATTTTCATCAGAAGGAAGGTGATCGAGGCATACTTCTGAAAGAAGCTAAGTAACTTTATTCACATACATGTGTATTAGGTTTTTTCTTTTTAACACAGGCAACAAACTGTGCTGTAGTCACAATTGCAATTATTTTTCCTTGCAGATAATGGTCCAGCATCTCTTGTCTGCATTTAATTTAACTAGAATCACACAACTGTACCTGACTGATATGTGCAGTCAGTAATTCTTAGTGTACTATTTAGATTGCAATTGCTATCATGGTTTGCAACCGCATGAATGGCTTTTTGAAAGGTTCATTTGTGTAAATCTTACTGTGCCAGTTAACAATTAATTGTGTCATTTCTTAAAGGAATGTTAAGATGCATTAAGGAAAAATATTCCATATTAATATCAAGCAGGACTTGTGCTGTCACAGTGATGGTCATTGAATTCTGGACTGGTTGTATTACCAGTCACAGAATAGATCCAGAGTACGGCACTTTTCCCTTTCAACTATAAGCAGGGAAGTATATTCCACATTCAGTCTTTTGATATAATTTAAAAAACAAATCTTTTTTATTGTTGATAAAATATGAATTGATCAGCAGTAAATTTAGATAAATTGGAGACATTTTAACATTTACTTATTAACACAGCTACACCTAGACTTTTACAGGAAAGATGCTGAATGTCACACTGTGGACTGTATGCTGAACTCGTTTTGATACATTCACATATCAAGTCTTTAGAATGCACACTTTTGCTCTGCTCTTAGTTACTAGTTGCAGCTATTCTACCAGGAATTTTAAGATGCATTGAGTAGAAACGAGAGGACCTAAAGCCGTCGGTCCCCTGGTTGGTTACTTACTAACAAGCATTTATGCTTTCTTAGCAGTCAGGTAAATTAACAACCATGCAGTAAAAAAAAAAGTTGTATCAATATTAAACAGGACTTGTGCTGTCACAGTGATGGTCATTAAATTCTGGACTGGTTGTATTACCAGTCACAGAATAGATCCAGAGTATGGCACTTTTCCTCCTAAATTAAGCAGGGACGTTTATTCCACAGTCATTACACGTCACACATTGTATGTGACACTGTAGATTGTACGCTAGACTTGTTTTCATACAGTTACAGATCAAATACCTAGAATGGCACTTTTACTCTTGAGTAATACAATTTATCTATATTTTTAGAAAAAAGCCATGACAATGATTACTTGTGTCTTTTCTTCCAGAAATTTCAAGATGCATCCAGAGCCGGTACAGCACCTCTCATTAAAGTAAGCAGGGAAGTTCATTCCGCTATCAATCTTTAGATATGCTTCGAAAACCCTTTTCTTTTATTGCTGAGAAATATGAATTGATGAGCAATAAATTTTCATAAATCTGACAGGTTAGGTGGAGACATTATAATATTTAATTATTAACACTTAAACCAGGCTTTTACAGTAAAGGTGCCGAATGACACACTGTGGACTGTATGCTGAAATCGTTTTGATACAGTCACATATCAAATCTCTAGGATGCATACTTTTGTTCTTGAGTAAGACCATTTATCTACTTTAGTCTTGGAAAACTGCCCGATTATGACCAGTTGTCATTGTTTTAACATATTTCATACTAATGTTTAGCAGCTAGGACTTGTGCTGTCACAGTGATGGTCATTGAATTCTGGACTGGTTGTATTACCAGTCACAGAATACATCCAGAGTACGGCACTTTTCCCCTTAAACTAATACCTAGAATGCATACTTTTGTGGTTGAGTATGACCATTTATCTACTTTGGTCTTGGAAAACTGCCAGATTAGGGCCAACTGTTACTGTTTTCTAAAACTATTCCATATCGATGTTTAGCAGGACTTGTGCTGTCACAGTGATGGTCAGTGAATTCTAGACTGGTTGTATTACCAGTCACAGAATAGATCCAGAGTACGGCACTTTTCCCCTTAAACTAATACCTAGAATGAATACTTTTGTTCTTGAGTAAGACCATTTATCTACTTTGGTCTTGGAAAACTGCCAGATTAGGGCCAACTGTTACTGTTTTCTAAAACTATTCCATATCGATGTTTAGCAGGACTTGTGCTGTCACAGTGATGGTCATTGAATTCTAGACTGGTTGTATTACCAGTCACAGAATAGATCCAGAGTACGGCACTTTTCCCCTTAAACTAATACCTAGAATGAATACTTTTGTTCTTGAGTAAGACCATTTATCTACTTTGGTCTTGGAAAACTGCCAGATTAGGGCCAACTGTTACTGTTTTCTAAAACTATTCCATATAGATGTTTAGCAGGACTTGTGCTGTCACAGTGATGGTCATTGAATTCTAGACTGGTTGTAGTCACAGAATAGATCCAGAGTACGGCACTTTTCCCCTTAAACTAATTACTAGAATGCATACTTTTGTTCTTGAGTAAGACAATGTATCTACTTTGGTTAGGGAAAACATGCCAGATTATAACCAATTTGTTATTACTTTTCTTTATAACAATAAAATATAACAGTGATGGTGTCGCTGTGGTGATGGCGATCCCTGAAATGAAAGTTGTATATATGAATAGATCATTCCTATTGCAAATCACTAATTAGTACCTAAACATTTATAGTGGAGATGGAGGTAATTGATGTTTTGACTAATTCTTACGCATTCACAATTAAAATAGATAGCAGGTCTTTTCAGCAGAGAATTGATATTATGAATTGAATTATAAATTGTGTACATTTATTCTAGTTAAGTTGTTACCATCTTGTATAAAGTTTTACAAACAAAATAACTGAAGAGACGATCTAAAAGCATTCTATACATGAAAGGTACACTATTGGTTGTATACATTTTTTATATGACTGGGATGTAAGAAGATTTTTAATTATGTTTCTAAAAGTTGTATGAGGTATGACTTTCTGCAGTGCGTCTCTGAATCACAACTTCATTTTCCAAATAAATGCTGTATTTATTATTCTTGATTATTATCAATAATTGTATATCTACAAAATTAGATGTTGGCTTATGTCTTGAAATCAAAGAAAATCTATGTTCTGTAAATGACATTGAATGAAGGCCCTTGCATTTATCAGTGATACTTGATGTAAATTGAGAATATAAGGGAAATTAAATTTGACAGAGCTTTCTTAAAAAAAGATAGAAAGAAAGTTGTGTGATACAGACACAGCAACACAGGGGGTAAGCAGGGCAGAGGTCTCCTTGATATACCTTGTATCTGAGATTTGAAAAGAATATTCCTCACCTCCTGGCAGAGCTAGGGGTAACCTAGTCTATTTTTCTTTTTCCTTTCTTCCATTCTGAGTCATATAAAAAGTGACTGTTTTTCCCTCCCTAACTAAATACCCTGGCGCCGCTCCTAGTATGACTTATTGAATGTTCAATCTGAATCACTTATTCTCTTATATTCACAACTGACATTTCTATATGCAATTTGTTTAACTGGAAGTTTATTCTTTTTTCAGTATTCATGGATAAATTGCATAGTACAAGGCCATTAAGTGAATTATATATATATATATTGAAACTGCAAAAAAATATAATTTAACTTATGAATTCAGAACTGTAAATAAATTAAACATTTTATCAAAACTGAAATTTATGTTTTGTTGTTGACTTTGAAGTTAATGAGCAAAGGTATGCTGGGAGAGGTGTGAGAGTAAATGAAATGAGAGTGCAATGAGTGTCATGGTTTGAGTCAGATTTTGGGGGTATGAGGGGGGGGGGGCCCCGGGGGGGGGGGGGGGGGGGGGGAGGGGGGGGGGGGGGGGGGGGGGGAGGGGGGGGGGGGAGGGGGGGGGGGGGAGACTAACGAAAGAACAGAAATTGACCATTAAGGTATGATGTCATTGGAAGTTTGGAACACAATCATGAGAGGGCTGTCGAGGATGACTTGTGAGAGTGTAGCGTTTAGAAATATATATGTTCAAATATGTAAATAAATGACGATCTTTAAAAAACAAAACAATTATGAATTGTGCGTTTCAATCGGCCGAATATGAACTTTCGCCAAATCTTGTCATTTGTCATATACAAGTAGTTATTACAATAGTCTATCCGTGAATTTTGTTCATGCAGGCAGGAAAAAAAAGACCTTTATTATAAAAAAAAAAGCGAAATAGAAAAACAGCAGAAAAATCTGCTAAGCACATTGCGCGCACCATGCAATAAAGCCCTTCTGTGTACTGTACGTATAGGCAAGGGCCTTCTTGCGCAAATTCAAAAGCGCGCATTAGGCGATGCAATAAAGCCATTGTTAATGAACGCCCTTCTTGCGTAGATTACACATGCGTATGAATTCAGCGCAATAAAGCCCCTCACAGAAATCATGTATTTAAAGATGTTTCTAATCAAAACCTAGTTTTTATATTATGGCTGCTCTTTTTGGACAGTATTTTCTCCCCATCTTGATATGATACATTGATTTATCAAACAATCAATGACTGCTTTTAGGTAAAATTCATACTTCCTGTGATTAACGTTCAAGCACTCTCTCCGTTACGGCGCACTCTCGCGTCGCGTAAGGGCGTTATTGCACCGACGCGACGAATTCATCGCTGTTTTCACGAAATGACGGTAGTGAAAAAAAATTGCATTCACTTTGCGTGACGATTTTCCTTCGTGAAAACAAGGCCAAATTGAATCATTAGTGTGCCCTAGCTCACGCTTTGCCCGGTCTAGTTTATGCCCTTTCAATTAGAATGGGCCAGGCTTTTTTCCTTATTGAGTTTTCATTAAAAACCATGCTCAACATGCGTCTCACATATATGTTTTGCTATACAACATTTCTCAATACGACATGCAGACTATGAAAAACGTTATCGTACTCACATGTATACAATTCTTACAATGAATTTCTGGTAATGTGAATGGACTTCACTGATGATTGTCAAGCATATGTCATGGGTGAACGGAGAATGATACTATTCCAAGGATACACAAATACAAATATTTTGTATTGTCGTCTGTGAAACTGCTGACAAAGTTAATCCTTTTTTCATACAAAAAGCTTTATGTTGATTATGTCAACCTTGGCGTCCAATCATCATTCAACAAACAGAAATATGAGTCTGTCCTTTGAAATTTGAAAGAAGGTAGTCTGTAGTCTGGATGGCCAGAATGAAATTAGGAATGGAACTTTTTAAATACGTACTCCTATTATTCCACTTGCATCAAAAGATACATATGGCAGATGCATTTTCAATCTATGATTCCAGATAAATTTTAGTGTGAATATCTGCAAGGAATGTCAAGTAGTCTGTCTGGGGACCATGTACATCAATCTCACAGAGGTTTATTCAAATCTATGAGAGAGAGATGTCCTTTATTAGTTGTACACATAGCCACTGCATGAGGAAAACTGACATCCCAGCCAGAAATGTAAATTATTTCCCAACTCTCAATGGTCAGAAGTTCCTTCTATCAGAACAAGACATTTGCTGCTATCTTTAAAAAAAAAGTAAAGTTCATTTTCAGAGTTTGTGTTCAAGTAGTGATCACATTCTGGATATTTGGAATATTCGTCAAGCAGTGGTGAAAAGTGGAAATGAATTTGGAGAAATTGAATTTGGAACAGTATCAAAGTTATAATTATTTCCCAACTGTTATTTGTCAGAAGTTCCCTTTGACAGAACAAGACATTGGCAGTTATCTTTTTTTTTCACTAACAACTCAACTCAACTATGATATTGAATTTGGAACAGCTAGTATCAAAGTTGGTTAACTTGCTCTAATCAACGTACGCTGGAACTTTGAGAAAGAAGATACGTTCATAGGGTTCATGGGGGTTTGCATGTAGAATCACTCTGAGACACTCTCTTCCTACAAACATTAAACTTAAAGCCTGCTAAAGTTGACAGTTTTAAAGAATAACATCCTGGTGAGGTCTATCTAAATTAGTCAGTTTCTTGCTTGCTATGGCTTTGGTTTCCTTCAGAAAACACTCTTGGGTGCTTCCTCTCATATCCGTCTCATCATCTACAAACCAGGCACCAAGGTTCAATGTCGGCTGATACACTTAGTTTCTAACCCTTTAAAGGGTCTGTCAAGATCATTTACACAAGAACAAGGTAGAACTGCAGTGGTTCTAGGGGAGGAGGGGATGGGTGGGGGCTCAAAATGTCTTTCAAGCCCCTCCCCCTTTAAATATATTAATTTTCTCGATTATAAGTGAATTTAAAGAAAAACAACAAATTATTCTTCTACAACTGTGCCTGGGTAGAATTTTTTTTAATTCATGCAAGCTCTTTTTTGATTGGCCAAAATCAAAATGAGATTTCCTTGAGTAAAGTTTGTTACATTTTACCAGTTTTTTTTCTTCTAATAGTTGTTCTTATTTTGAACTTTTAGAGTTATAACGCTGTCTATTCCTATGACTATTTTATTAGAGGGCACACACAGTGCGCAATCTTCAAGGCCTTGAAGCAGCACTTTCCTTGGAAGAAGAAGACATTAGAGACACTTCAGTGAATTATCCCTCGGATACACAGAAGGATAACAAACACAAAGTCAGCTTTACAATGTACTACATGTATTAACAATTTGTTCAAGCTTTCTCACATGATTCAGTCAAGCATTACTAGTACAACATGCAGCTCATTCTTGACAGTTCAAACTGTCATGATCTTTTGTTGGCTCCTTTTTTTTCTCACTAATAATTTGTCTCTCTCTTGTATATATGAACGTTGCAAGATTTCATGTAGCCTCTAATATACATGTACGAGCACATATGCTAGTCTGTTGCATTAATTCAATCAGGAAAGTTTGCAGTCAAAGACTAAGTGACAGCAGCTTAAAGACATAAATCAACTCCAACTTTAGCCCTGAAAGGTCAAAACTAAAACATGGGCTAATTATATTATGTTCACAAACTACATGATTGGGTACATGGAAGTTTTCCAATATTCACCTCCGAGTTTTGCACTGTGCCCCAACCTGTGTACCTGTGTACCCCTCTCTCTCTCTCTCCCTCCCCCTCTCTCTCTCTCCCTCTCCCCCCCCCCCCCCCCCCTCTCCCTCTCTCTCTCACTCTCTTTCTGTCCCCCTCTCTCTCTTGTGCTAAATATCCCACTCTCT